TTCGCCCATTAGTAGCTTTAACCTAAACCTTTTTAATGCTTATCTATGTAATCCCCAGTAGGAGAAGTGAATGTAGCAGTCTTTATTGATATTTTCTAATAGGGTGGGGTGAGTCTAATGGGAGTAACTCCTGTTCGCAGCCGCCGCCCTACGCAGCTGCCACCTTAGTGGATCTGCATTCTTTCAGGATTATTGTAAAAGTTATAGTAAGGCTGGGGGTGCCTTTATGGGGTACTGGGGTATGGCAATAAGGCCCATGGCAGAGAAACTGAGTGCAGGCCAGTACAGTAACACAATGAAGGTGAGGTCCAGAACTCGTAGAACTGTTGACCTTGCACACAGTTCTCCTCAGCCGAGTCCTTGCTCTAGGCACAAGGGGTAGTTCTTTCATACTCAGCTTGTGTTAACTGCATGGTCCCAGCAGGCTCCCTTGCAGGTAACTGTCTTTCTCTGTCTTTCTTGTCATCAAAGAAATAAACTTTGAAAAGAGAGAGGAATTGGGTCCAGCATATGGCATGGCAGTTAAGGGCACTGGACGCTCACATGGCTGGCAGTGGTTCAAGTCCCAGACCTGGCAGCTTGCTTTTTCACTTTTCCTTTCTCTCTCTCTCTCTCTCTCTCTCTCTCTCTGGTCAATTTAATAATAATTATAGTAATAACAATAACGACAAATAAATTAAGTAAATAAATAAATCATTCCTTTTATAAAAGAGAAATATCTGAAATACCATTCTCAAGTACTCCAGTTTTTATGAGAGCTGCATTGAGAAACCATCTTATTTTCAAATAATATTCCATGCTTAGGATAGCGACTACTTTCAGAAGTATCTAAACAAGAAGTGTTTGTAGCAGTGAAGGCCGGGTAACTTCTACATGTAAAATGCAGGACCTAGGGCATATATTCCCAGTTGTCTCACTGTCCTGTTACATTTCTAAAGTGGAAGCAGTTTTTTATCCTTGGGAGGAGGGAGCAAAAGCAAAAACAAATAAAAACAATATAT